GGTCCCAGCCCCAAAATGCCTATTTTGTGCTGGCATCCTTCAGAACCAGAGACCCACCCAGACAGGCTCAAAGTCTCAGAGATCAGAGCTGGAAGGGACGGGTAAGGCCACACCCATTGCACAGAAAAGGAAACAGAGAAGGGTGGAAGTAGTTGCCTGAGGTTGCACAGCAGGTTTGGGGGTGTCAGTAGCCATCTGAACTAAAATGGCTTCCAGAAAGAGAGAGAGAGAGAGAGAGAGGGGAGAGAGAGAGAGAGAGAGAGAGAGAGAGAGAGAGAGAGAGCACCTTTGTGTTTAAAAGCCAAGGTTAGGCATGGTGGCGTGTAATCCAGCCATTTGGGAAGTGGAGATGGATCTGGCAAAGACCCACCAGCCCCACACTTGCACCCGCTGAATCCTCCTCTGGCCAGCTGTCTCAGCCCCACTCGCAGGATCAGACCCATGAGTAGACTGAAATCCAGCGCTCAGTGCAGAGGGCAGGGCAGGGTGCTTCTGACCCCACACTGAAGTCAGGGATCGGGTCCTACCCTGCTCTTCACCCCCATCTGATTCATCCCCTCTCCCTTTCCTGCAGTCCTTTAGATCTCGTTCAGATTCTGACACAGGCTCTTTCTAGCTCCCCCAGGGCACTGGCACATGCATCACGCTCACATCCAGAGTGAGATGCTGTGGAGAAAAGGCTGAGTTTTAATTCTGGCTGCGTTGAATACGAATAATTCATCACATATGTGAGGGTGAACAGCCATCAGGTCACCGTCAATAAACAAAAGCAAAACCAGGATTTTTACACAAGGGCAGAGAGCTGAGCCCTGGTGGCTCACTCCTGTAATTCTAGCTATTCAGAAAACTGAGATGTGAGAATTGTGCTTCAAAGCCAACCCAGGCAGGAAAATCCCTAAGACTCTGAAACTCCTATCTCCAATTAACCAGCAACAAAAGGTCAGAATGGGAGGGATGGCTTAAGTTGTAGAGTAGCAGCCATAAGCAAACAAGCCAAGCTAAAACTTGAGGTCCTGAGTTCAAGCCCCACTACTGGTAAGCACATGTACACATGCTCACCTAGACACACACACAGAGGGCAGAAAAAAAAAGTAGTCTGGGATGTTGTTGATAACTACAACCAGGGACATCATGTTGAAAACCGAGGCTGAGGAACTAAGAAGGAAGAGCGAGGATAGGAAAAGGGGCCGCAGGGGGTCCAGTGCGCACCAGCTTCTGAACCCCAAGTTCCTGTTAATAAGTTTATTGACTTAGTTCAGTACAGGGGAGGTGAAGTGCAGGTATGTGCAGAAACTAGGATCTCATTGTACCTTTGTGGTTACAACCATCAACACGTGGTATCGTTTGTATACGTAGTAATAGTTGACTCCCTTAGCGTCAGGGAGCAGAGGGGAGCAATAAAAATTCCAACTGTAGCACAGATTTTCATCTTATCTCCAAGGTTTTAAACTTTTAGGGCCCAAACAGCTCTAACTTAAACACACTTAGGGTAGTCACCTAAACCTCAGTCTTGCCTTGACCTTTTGATCCTTCTAGGGCCCAGGTCTAGGCCTTCTGGGTGCTGCTGAGATGCCCTCCATTCTCTTAACCCTTTCAAGGTCTCACAGCTTGGGTCCCGCGTTCCCTGCAGGAGGTGACCTTGGTGTATATATATTTTCAGCCAGTTGATAGGTAAAGTGGCTGGGTTGAGGGCCCCAGAGGGCAGTGGCCCTGAGCAGCTGGCTGGGACAGTAGAAGATGGCATTTTAATCAATTAGGGATTCTCTCAAGGGTTCAGTGATACAGAATACAGGATTGTGACATCTGTGTCAGGTCCCCTAGCCACAGTCACTCACCCAGCTGTGTCTCAGTCGCTCCCTGCCAAGCCGGCATCACTGGCCTTACTTATCAGCATCTGTCAGCACCTGCCAGCATCTGCAGACACCAACCAACGCCGTCTGCTCTGCAAGCGCAGAGAAGGGTTCAGTATTTTCAGTAAAGTGCCTTCAATCCCTGAACTGGAACCTAGGCAACAGTTACTGTGATCTTGCTTCACGAACTTGGGTTTGTTCCCGTGTGCTCGATTGATGGCTACACTGTGAATGCATTCATTTAGAGCAACTTCGTCTTCAAAAAGCACCAGATGAAAGGGTACAATGCTCCCTCCCCCCTCCCCGCACCTGCCCCTGCTGAGCTGAACCCTACACACATGCAACACATTCCTGTAATCCTAGCTTCTAAGGAGACTGAGATCTGAGGATCTTGGTTCACACCCAGCTAGGGCAGGAAAATCTGTCTTCAATAAACTACTCAAAAAATGGGAGTTGCAGGCATGGCTCAGTTGGTAGAGTGCTAGCCAATGAACAAAAGCAGCAGGTACCGAATTTGAGCTCAGACTCCTCCCCACCCCCCCAAAAAAAGAGAAGAAAAAGTCAAAAGTGGAGCTGTGGTTCAAGTAGTAAAGCACTAACCTTGAGCAATAAAACTCAAGAGACAGAGCTCAGGTCCTGAGTTCAAGCCCCAGGACCAGCACAAAAGAAAAGAAAAGAAAAGGAAAACTGCAAGAGCGTCCCTTGAGATGTCTCCATCTGTCTGAGCTCACCAGCTCCTTCCACATCTGGTGAGTGCGAGTCCCTCAGCACAAAGCCACTGACTAGCTGACACCACGTCATATTCGTGTGTCTCTGGGGGTATTTATCTGTGCAAATGTGCTACCATTTTTATTAGGTATATTTTTATGCATCACTGATGAAGATTTTTTTTATGTGTTTTTTTTGTCTGTTTTGAGACAGGGTCTCACTATGTAGCCCAAGCCTGCCTCAAATGCACAATCCTCCTGCCTCAGCCTCCCAAGGGCCACTACGGACATGTATCACCATGCCCAGTTGCTGATGAAGTTTTTGAGTGTTGTATCCCAAACTCCATTTTTCTCTATAAGCCCTGTGGTGTGTGTGTATTTGTGCGTGTGCACATGTGCGCGTGCAAGTGCACACGTGCCAGTCCTGGAACTTGAATTTAGGGCCTACGTGCTGTCCTTGAGTTTTTGTGCTCAAGCTTAGCACTCTTCCACTTGAGCTACAGCTCCATCGCTGGATTTTTGCTGGTTAATTGGAGATAAGAGTCTCACAGACTCCTTCCCAGGCTGCTTTGAACCAAGATCCTCAGATCTCAGCTTCCTGAGTAGCTAGGATTATAGGCGTGAGCTACTGGTGCCCAGCACTTACCTGTAGTTTTTATTCCAGGATTCTGCACAGCATTTTTGGAATGTATATGTAATGTCATAGCCAGGACCAGATACATTACTTGGGGGAAATCTCATCATGAAACTAAGAATTTCAAGATGAAGAGTAGTGAACCAGGTGCCCTGAGCACATGGGTCACACACATTTATCATGCCAACTCTGGTACAGCAGAAATGTCTAGACTAGTACACCATTTCTTTCTTTTTCTTTCTTTTAATGTAGGGAGAATGTCTTTCACATTTTACCTATCTCAGGTTCTCAAAGCATGTTATAGTTAGAATCTGAAATATCTCAAAAGCTCAGGTTTTAAGGGATTGGCCCTCACCTGAGGGGGCCTTTAAGCACTTGGATTGTGAGGGCTCTGACTTCATGAATAGATTAATTCATTAACCCATTGGTGGGGTCAGAATTTGAAGGCATTATTAGGAAGTGGTGGGGCAGGAGTGAGGTCTAGTTTGTCACTAGGGCACAGCCCTTTAAAGGCTTACTTTGTCTCGCCTCCTTTTGGTCTCTGCTTCCTGGCCACCATGAGGTGAACAGCTTCCTCCACCACTCCATTTCTCCTTTTGTTTTCCACGGCAACCGCAATGGAGACAGCCAATCATGGACAGGAACCCCTGAAACCCAAACAAACCCTTACTCCTTCCTCTCAGGTATTTGTTCTATAGATCCTGCATTCATTCATTCTTTCTTTCTTTCCTTCCTTCCCCCATTTGACTCACATGTACCGAGATTTTCCTAGGAGTTGGGCACTGTGCTAGACATGGAGACCTGGGGAGAGGTGACACGTGGCACCTGAATGAGCCATCCAAGGAAACCAAAGACAGGAGAAGCCAACAACCTGGGTTTTGTTACCCCCTGGATCTTCCCTGGCTCTCTCTGGTGTTCAAGGGTTGAGAGATGATTTTTCATACGTCTCTCACATTGCTGAAAAGACTCAGGAGTGGAGGCACTGGCAGTTTTGTTGTGGATTCTTTTCCAGGGTATTTGTATGCCTTGGGAGACAGGGCAGTATCTCCCCCTGAGAGATATGATATTTTTTTTTAAGATCCTAGGAATGTCTAGCGCTGGGGGAAAAGTTGGCAGGTTGGTTTTGCAGGCCCATATAAGAGAAGCGAGGGAGCGAAGTTCAGACTATGCCTGAAGTCCTTTGCCTCTGACTCGGGGCTTTGTGTGTTCTCCAGCATCCATGATGCTGTGGCAGGCTAATTTGTCAGCTCTCAGGTAAGCTAAGATCTTGGGTTCTTGATCATCCTGGACGTCACTGGCCTGTCTTTTCAATGTAGAGGGTGGACTAGGAAGCAAGTCCAGGAGAGAGCTGGAGGAGGGTAAGTCTGCACTCAGGACAGCTGTTAGGTTGTCTCAGGAAAAATCTGGGCAGGAGAGCAGATAAGGGGGCTAGGACTTGCCAGTGGGTAGAAAGAGCTTAGCAACTTCCTAGTGAAGAGGGTTTCAGTCAAACCCTGAGGCACTATAAAGACCAGCCACGGAGTTTGGGACCAGAAGGGTGACTGGCAAAGCTCCTCTGCCTGAATCCCAGCAAGAAGGCAGGTCTAGAGGGCTGCCTCTCCATAAGCAGGTGTAAGCCTTGAGGGAACATGGACAGAGCTTCTGGAGCAGGCGAAGGTGGTATTCAGGCCAGTTAGAAAGGGCCTGGAGCCCAGAAGACTCTCTGCAGGGCTCTCAGCCCCTCAGAGGACAATGCTCACATGCTGTGCCATCTGCTGTCTCTCTCTCATGCCCCTCCTCCATCCTGAGGAGAAAGCCACACCTCCAAACATGGCCGCCAGCTGCACAGAGCTCCTTCAGCAACTCCCAACAGTCCAGCGGGAGATGATGCTCTTCACAGGAACCCCCATGGGCTGGGAGTGTGGCTGCTATGGTAGAGCACTCATCTAACAAACACAAGGTACAGAGTTCAAATCTCAGGATCACTAAGAAAAAAAATGCAACCTTCTACTTTGTGTGGATCCCAGGCACTTCTCTATAGAACTTTTCCTCTCTGAGGCTACCCAGTGCATTTGTTCTTGGAAACACTCCTTCCATCCCTCACCTGGGTCAAGTCCACAGCTTCTAGACTTCTGATCTGGTCAGGCCTGCCTTCCTGAGCCCCACGAACATGGCCTCTTCCAGTTCTGAGTTCAAGGTCTGAGACATAGGGCATGCATGGAAACTCTAATCTGATGAAAGGCTGAATGTAAGGTCCTGAAGGAGAAGAAGAGTCAATGTTGTTCTTTAAATATGTTGGTCATTTATACAAATTTACAGATGGGGTAAAAAAACCACCAGAGACTGAATGTTGGCGCTCATCCCCGTGGACACTGCTGGGAAGGAAGGAGGGCTGGCAGTCAGCACAGGCACTGATGTTTCATGTTTTCTGTGTAGGGATCTTTACTTTGATAACAAGGGTGTTTTTCTCACAGCCAGGACCCTCAGAGAGCCAGGTCTTTGCAGGCTAAAAATTAATATCTGCCTTCTTTGGAGAGCCATCTTCAGGCTGGGCTGCTGTAGAGCCTGGTGGGTGTGGGCCTGACTCTTGGTACAAGGGCCATCCTGAGAGCAGGAGATCTGAGTTGTCCTAGGGTGACTGGGGTCTGAGACTTGGCTTACCAGACATATGAAAGGTCATCAGATATTTATAACAACTTATGAAACCCTTTAAAGCATTTTTCTGTGCCCTTAGACTCAAGGATTAGACTCAAGGCCTCAGTACTGTCACTTATATATTTTTTTGGTGCTCTACCACTTGAGCCACATCTGTACTTCAGGTTTTTTGCTGATTTGTTGGAGATAAGAATCTCACAAACTTTCCTGCCTGGGCTGGCTTTGAACCATGATCCTCAGATCTCAGCCTCCTGAGTAGCTAGGATTATAATCATGAGTCATTAGCACCTGGCTTCATTTAAAACATTTTAAAGCCAGACACCTGTTTGAGAGACTAAAGCATCTAATCCAGTCTTTTTAAAACAGAGTTCCTGGGTGACCTGGAACTCCCTCCGCTCCTGCCTCAGCCTCCAGAATTACAGACATACACTACCATGCCTGGCTCAGTAACTTCATCTCTCTTCCCAAGTCTCTTTCCAAGTGTGGGGGTGGAAGGTGGGCTCACAAACATTTATTGAGAACCTACTATATCCTAAACCAGTGGGGGCTCACATGGGAATTGTGGTTCCCACTGTGCAGATATGACACTAAGGCCTGGCCAGGAAGTTAGTTGCTCACATTGATGCCCAGCCCTTATTCTTTCCCCAACCTTACTCTGCCTTCCAGGATACAACAGCAAGCAGCCTCTGAAAGCAGGAGAGCAAGCTGGTGGCTCCCTGGGTGCAGGGGAGCTCATCCGGTACCCGCCACGTCATGGCTGCAGGTATCACTAGCTCCTAGACTTTCATGCCAGGGTCATCTTGCAGCATGACACCCACATAAAATGCTGTTTCTCATCCCAGACTTCATGTCCCTCGGGCTCCAGGGCAGCTAGCTGTGTGCAAACTCAGGACTGGGGAGATGAGACCTTCGGGGTTGCTCTAAGGAAGCAATTTCAAGGCAGCCAGGCAACACTGATAAGTCTCGTTTTCCTATAAAGGGATAGCCTGGTGTTTGTGTAGCTAAAGAGAACATGCTTGGGTCTGGCTCCTCCCAGCTGGACAGCAGCTGGGGGTGAGGGTAGAGGGATGTGGGGAGTCAGCTCCCACACCTAGCTGTGGCATGCAGGAGGACTAGATGGAATTCATTTACTACTAGACGGAGTTCATAACCTACTGCCTGCCTCTCTGCCCTCTCTCTCCCTGTCTCTCCTCTCTGGGTTCTGGAAGAAGCTAGGAAGGGTGGCAGAGTCACTCAGCTGTGCCAAGCCCACCTTTGAGAACGCAGAGCTGCCATCTCTTTCTGGCTCGTGTCCAGTGCCCTCTGGACCCTACTCTCCTGCTTCCTCCTGGCATGGACCCCGTGGGGCACAGCTGGTGCGGGGGGGGGGGGGCCTGCTGTGCCCCCAGAGGCACTCCCCAGGGAAGCTTGATCAAGGGATTAGAACAACTGCTCCGTTGGTTGCCCAGCTGGCTTCTCTGTGATCTGGGCAGCTGTTTGGGGGATTTCCAGAGCCAGCCCAAGATGAAGTGGTCACCTAGTGGCCTTCCCCCACACAAGAGATTTCATCTCCAACTAATTAGTCAGATGCTGAACTGAAGGCCCAGTTCAAGTGGTAGGGTGGCAAGAAAGCGTCACATGAACACAAAGTCCTGAGTTCAAGCTCTAATACCCTCCCTCCCTCCCTCCCCACCCCTCTCTCTCATACACACAGTTTGGCTAGACACTGAAGAATTAACATGGAATGTGCTCTTTTTATTTTATTTTATGTTATTTTATTTTTTTGGGTCCGGTTGTGGGGCCTGAACTCTGGGCCTGGGCGCTGCCCCTCAGCTCTTCAGCTCAAGGCTAGCGCTCTACCACTTGAGCCACAGCGCCACTTCCAGCTTTTTTCTGTTTGCTTATGTGGTGCTGAGGAATTGAACCCAGGACCTCATGCATGCAAGGCAAGCACTCTACCACTGAGCCACCTTCCCAGCCCAAATGTGCTCTTTTTAAGAGCTTCTGAGCCTCATTAGGATTTTCCTAAGGGTTGGTGACTATGTGACTGACCATTATGCAAACAAGGGTGTCTCCAAACTAGGAATCCTGACTCTAGGCCCAAGCAAAGGCGAAATGTTCTCTGGGAAACACACCTCTTGGTACTGATTCAGGTGCTTCAGTTGCATCCGGGTGCCTCCAACTGCCCCACCTCTCCCCCAACACTCCCCGTTCCTCATGTGATCCCATCATCTGAATATTGGGTAACCTGCTTGACTTCTCCCAGTTTGGGCCTGCAGCCCCTTACTTAAACCCCGTCTCAGACTCCCCACGCCCTCTCAACTAAGCCCAGGCTTCTGGCTATGGCTCCAAGACCCTGTATCCTCCCTACTCTGGACGCCAGCTCACACCTCAGCTCTGAGGAGATCCTCTGTCCTGCACCCTCCTCCTGACCTCCACATGCTCCTCCTCCACTGCAGCGCCAGTAAAGAATCTCTCCCTGGATGCTGGCGGCTCATGCCTGCAATCCTAGATATGTAGGAAGCTGAGGACCACGGTTCAAAGCCAGATCAGGCAGGAAAGTCTGTGAGACACTTACCTCCAATTAACCACCAGGAAACTGGAAGTGGAGCTGTGGTAGAGTGGTAGAGTGCTAGCCATGAGTGAAAGAGCTCAGAGACAGTGCCTAGGCCCTGAGTTCAAGCCCCTCCACCCCCTGCCCCCCAAAGACCCTCTGGAGAAGGAGGTGTTCTTAACAGAGGATACTCTGAGTAAAACAAGTCACCCATGCTTTGTTTTCACTCTGTCTGGCCACCATGTTTTCAGAGGTGTTATCTGAGCTGGTACAGTCAGATACGGAGACAGTGTGCTCACTAACAGTGTTTTAAACAGTATGAATGTTTTCTTATTGTTCAGTCAGCTGGCAGTGAACTCTAGAGTTGGTTAGATCAACAGCTCCGCTCTGTCATCAAGGACCTGGCCCCTCCTCTTAACGTCATCCTCCAGACCAGTGAACCTTGTCTCAGGGTCACCTAATAGTGGCTGTCCTGACAAGCATCACAACCTTATACCTCAGCGCTCAGGAAGGAGAGGTAGGAGGAGGCCTTTATTCATGAATCTCTTTTCTCAAGAAGGAAAATCTTTCAGTGCCACCCAGTGCTTACATCTGATTGGCCAGTACCAGGTCATGAGCCCATTAACCAAGAATAATCGGGGAAGTCAGGCACAGGTGGCTCATACCTGTAATCCAAGCTACTCAAGAGGCTGAGATCTGATGACAAAGTTCAAAACGAGTCCAGGCAGATGGAGCTGAAAGATGATGATTCCCACTCAACTGAAAAGAGCCAAAAGTAAAGGTATGGCTCAAGTGGTAGACCACCAGCCTTAAGAAAAAAAAAAAACAGTGTGAGTGTGTTGCCCTGAGTTCACACCCCAGTTCCAGTACCAGTAGGATTGTCATGATTCACTCACTTATTCTTATTTCATATCTTGAGTACTGGAGATCAAACCCTGGGCTTCACCCTCACTGGGAAGCACTGTATCACTGAGCCACATCCCCAACCTCATCACAGGTAATTTAGATCAATCATGAGTTATCCCCAGAGACTAAGTATTGTGCCACAATGAATCCAACATTCTGTTGTCAACAGGTAAGGGAGAGTGGACTTTGGGAGGGTGTCTTAGCTCAGTTTCCCCTGAACCTGGCTTCCCTCACTCGTCAAAATGAGCTTCATGAACCGGCAACTTTGACATCAAGTGGGAACTTGCTAGAAATGCAGACTCTCAAGCCTCCTCCAGGACTTCAGGCACCACAATCTGCATTTGGACGAGATGTCCCCGGTAACTCAAAAATCAAGAATCAGATATTCACGAGAGGCCTGGCAGTGGTCATGCCACATGGCTGAGAGCTCTCCCGGGAAAGGGATCGTGGAAGACCCCCACCCATCTCCCTTAATCTGCTTAATCTCACTTTTGAGTCACCTGAGTAATCATTTCATTCTACTCTTGGTTTTGCCTCTAGCATTAGACTGTCAACATAGTGTCAGAGAAAATGCCTTACTTCCTTTAGTCTACTAATTTGTCTTTACTGACTTCCTGCTGCAGAAACAGAAAGGAAAACAATTTGAATCTATAAAGAAAAACATACCAAGTATCACTCTAGCTTAATGAAATAAGCCTAGATACAGGAGAGTTGGGTACAAAGACTATCATCTCTGTTTCACTTGCAGTAGGCCTGACTGCAAACAATTCAAGTGTTCAATTTGGCTAAATAGGTTATGGTGGCACTCAATGGAAATTATGGCACGCAATGGACTATTATGCAGTTCTTAAAAACATGTGAATGAGCCAGGCACTGTGGTGTATACCTATAATGCTATCTAGGTAGGATGTATAGATAGGAGGATGGCCATCTAAGGTGTGACCTGGGAGAAAACCAGAGACGCTATCTGAAAAATAACTAAAGCAGGAAAGGGCTGGGGATTGCCTTTCTTATGTAGTAGAGCACCAGCTTAACAAGCATGAGACCCTGAGTTCAAACCTGAGTATACCAAAAAAAATGTGAATAAGCACTCAGAAGGCTGAAGCAGGAAGAAAGGGAGTTCACGGCCAGTTTGGGTTACACAGTAGGAATAGTGTGAATGAAATACGGTGGATGAAATGTTTGTAATAGCAGAAGAAATGTTCAGGCTTGGGTTGGTGGAAATGTGGGAATGAAGTCGTCTTGATGTATGGTAGATGACAACTCTGTCTATGAGTTTATTCATGGAGAAAGTGCAGAGACTTGTCAGAGTGTTAACCGAGGCTGCTCTTGGGTGGTCAAACATGGATGAGGTTGATCTTTTCTTTAACAACTTTCCGTATCTCTATAATGAACATGCCCTGCCTTTAGAATCAGAAAAAAATTATTTTAAAAGTCAACTTTGGGCCTGGGTTGTGCCTGTGTCAGAGTGTGCATTGGTGGTGTAGTGATACACACCTGTAATCCCAGCACTCAGGAGGCCAAGGGAGGAGATTAAGAGTTGGAGGCCAGCCTGGATAACATAGTCAGACCCTATTTAAAAAAAAAAAAAAAAAAGCTAAGGGTCAGTTTACTAAAACCCAGGAAATGAGTAACCAAGCAGCCCAGGAATGTGGATTCAAGGGCCAGAGCTGCTATCTACAGCTGGGTGGACTAGGTCGATCCTTCTCTGGGCTCACATCTCCTTAGTAGGATTGAGCTGGATTCACAGCAACTAGAGTCTCTTGCAGTTTGAAGAATACTTTATGATTTCAGGTCTTCAAGGGGGAAGGCAAACTGCAAGTCCAGGTGGAAAATCTGGGGAGCTGGAGGCTGGGCGTCCCACTTAGCACCGCAGCAAACTTCCTGGCCTTTGTCTTTTTATTCTTCTGCATAAAACTAAACAGATGGGTCAAGTTGAGATTCCTGGGCTTCAAGCCAGCCCTGGTTCCCCCAGGCTTACCCTCCAGTGCACCCAGAAAGGCCCTTGCTTCGTGGGGACACCATCCCAGGAGGATATAGATTGAGTAGGTGGAGAAACTCTCCCTCCAGAGGTAAGATGAGAAGAGGAATGAGCTAATTGGCATGTGCATGCTCTACACTTTTAGAGAAAGGGATGGAGGAACCTAATCCTGGGAGAATGACAGTGGCCTTTGTGTTGGTCCAAATGCCAGGGCTCTGCCATCACCATGGCCTAGGGGCCAAGGCTGCAGCATGAGACTTCTCCTCATCACCCAAGCTCCCTCATTTGCTGTGGCCCAACCTACAACACACCCCTGTGGAGAGACCCAGCCACAGGGCCACAGGCATGGACCCCTCTGCTTCATCTCCTGCCATGTGAGGGTTCACAAGTAGGTCACAAATTTGTCCTGAACAGGGACTGTGAGTATCAGATGCCAGCCCCACCACGCCACACCCCTCCTGGCTGAACTGTTGGGTATGAAGCTGTAGCAGGGCAGTAAGCTTTGAGGCAGGCAGATCTAGGTCCTAGTCCCCCTTCAGATATCAGAAATATCAGTCCTGCTTAAGACAGGCGCAGGCTGAGGCCTGCAGGAGCTGAAATGGAGTTAGGATGAACACTCCCGTTGAGAGTAAAGGACAAGGGAAGATTAGGCAGGGGACATGGCAGCTGACATCACAAAGCCACCGCTCTGGGGGTGGAAATGGCCAGTCCTCACACTGCCACATTGGCTACAGGGTCACCATAAGGACAGAATCTCAGCTTAAATGCTGAGGTGTGTCTGTCAGGAGTCAGCAGTCTGGGGCTGTCTTCCAGACCCGGCTCCTGGCGACAGGGAAGTGACAGAACTCACAGTGAGTCCTGGCCCCACTTAATTCCCTTCTTTGCTTTTGGGCCCAGAAGACTTGGCTTAAATCCCAACACTGTGACTTAGCATGTGACGACGGGGACCATGGCAGACGGGGACGTGACCAGTTTCACTTGATCACCCAGCCATGGTGCGTGGTGGGGAAGGAGGCTGCATCACCTTCCTGGACTCAATCCTCACATGTGAGTGGGAAGTGACTGCCACCGCCCCGGGTGCGAGGATTCACCTGGCCCGGACGCTAGCTATGAGTCTTTTCACTCAAGACTTAGTCGATCGATTTGATCCATGTCTGCTTCCTGCTCTCGCTCAGCCTAACCTAAAACCCCCTCTTCTCCCCTCCACTCCCTCTTTGCCTCTCCCATCTTCCTTTTCCTTCCCCTTCCCTTCCTTCCTTTCTTTACTTCCCTTTCCTACTCTTTTCTCCCCTTCCCCTCCCACTACTCCCCTCTAGTTCCTTCTCTAGCTCTTCCCCTTCTTCTCTTCCTCCTTCTCTTCTCTCTCTTTTCCCTCCCTCTCTTCTTTTCTCCCTCCTTTCCTTTCTTGGAAATAGTTTCATGGGCAGCATAAAGTTCTGTGAAGGTACAAGCCATGTTAGGGGTCCCCCCCAAAATTAGGGACTCCTGCTTTGGGGAGTTTGAAAGACGAAAGTCCCTTGGAGATCCCAACTTTGCTGTCCAGAGCCCACCTGCCTCTTCCAGCCAGGCCAGTCTTCCCCCACGGGGAAAGCTCACAATGTTATTCCTGCGCCAGCTCACATGAACCACAGGTCTAGTTCAAGCTCTTTTTTGCAACCTTCCCCCACAGGGAATTTCAATATAAACCTGAGTTCAGATTCTGATCTGCAGTCCTAGGAGGTCTTCACCAGACAGAGGTGAGAGAATGCACTCATTTCCTGCCCTCTTATCCAATCAGATGTCTTAGGAGGGAAGAAGGGAAGACAAACAGGTGTGGCCCACCTGGGTAGAGGGAGAGGCACTCACCACAGGCTTGGAAACATCCTAACACTAGGACATAGGCTAGTTGACAACTGGGCTCAAAGGGAAAGCAAGGGAATTGGAAGTGGTCAGGGAAGATATGAATAGGATCCCACGAACCTCCTTATCCAGTGTCTGAGGTTCCTCATCAGAATATCATAAACACCCAGAGGTGAACTAGATAGATACGCTCCTAGACACTTATCCTCCCTCAGGCTTACCTCATTTATACCCACCTTGAGCACTGATGTCAGGATGAAGTGAAGAGCCTGGTACCTTTTTCAGACTCATTTCAGCCTTACCTTTTGGGTGTTATTACCCCCAGGTTGTAGATAGGATCACAAGGCTGTGACTTGCCATGGATGGTAAAGCTGGGATTTGAGCCAGGTGTTTGAATACCCACTTGGACTCCTGGCCACCATCGACGCCTCTGGAGAATCCTCTGCTCCGCTGGCCTTCCTTGCATTAGAAAGTAGGAGGCTTTGTGGGCCTGGTTGACAAGATGTCCAGCTCTTACTTTGGTGTAACCTGGAATGTTTTGATTCTCTTCTGTAGATGGGAAAGTGTGGTATGGAAAATGGTAACCTGCTAAAACCAGATGCCAAATTAGTAGAGAGAATCCATGAGCAAAAACAAACACACACACACACACACAAATGAGCAGGACAAGTTGGGCCTTGGTAGCTATACTCATACTATTCTGTCCAGGTGCTCAAGGCTCCAAATCCCACATTCTCTTTGCTGCTTACAGACAAGAATGGGACCAACTTATCCATACAGAGGTGGAGGGGAGAGGGCTTAGGTTTACCCTGACATGTCTATAGCACAGTGCAATATCTGCACCATAATAGCAAGGGGCAGCCTTTGAGCTTGGGCTGTAACGAGGCTTCAAGGAGTCAACAGTAAGGTGGTAGGGCCACCATGGACCTCTGAGATGACAGCAGTGTCACTCTAGCCCTCCCCCCTTGGCAAGGCTGACTCTCCTTGAACACTAGAAATCTTACTCTAGCAAGTCTGAACCCCTGCTCTGGGGTTCATCTCACACCCAGAAACAGAGATTCAGACTATGGCAAAGGGCAGGCGAGGGGGAAACCATGTTTGTTTTCCTTCCAACAAAGACATCACCTGCCCTCCTTCATCTTCAGAGCTGTCTGGTTTGCCCTGTCTTGGGGTCCCCATCCTTTTTTCCCTGAGTCTGTTGAGTCCTAAGAGATCAAATGTGGGTGACTAGAACTCCGGTGTGTCCAGGAGCACCCTCTACTTGCTTCTAGATCTCAGTGACTCACTGTACCCAGGTTGTACCTACACCTTCCCACCCACATCAGATCCCTAAGCTACTTTCCCAGATTGCCTGGGGCTCTCTGGACCCTGCTCTGGGCTCCCAGTCCTGAAGAGGACATTTACCCTGTGCTGAGAACCTCCCATGTGCTCACCCTGAGCAGATGTGCTGGGCCCACCAATTCTCCCTCAAACATGGTCTACAGGCTATTTCTAATCCCTACTCCCCTCCGTGCATGGGTTCCTGCCACTTCCCATGTTTCTTTGAGTCTCCATCTACTTCCCTCCTGCCCTGATTAGCACAGCCCCAAGCTCCCTCCCTCCCCACCCTTCCTTCCCCATTGTCCCTGCCTTTTCTTCTGCAGTGGTCCAGCTGCCTCCTGCTGGAGCTGGAACTGGAGCTGGAGCCCTCCACAGGCCTTGAGGAAGAAGGAAAAGGCCCAGCACCCTCAAGGAGGAGGTGTGTGATCATTTCCGGTGGGCCTTGTTTCTCTTTCTCTGCTTCTGCCTTGTGTTCTTCCCCCCAACTTGGCTCAGGCTGGCAAGGAGCAGGGTAATGGGTGTATTGGTATTTTTTCCTGGTGGGGGAAGGGGGTGGAGATTGAGGAAAGAAAAGAGCTGGGAAGGATGATTGGCATAGGGCCCGCCTTCTTTTGTCCTCCTCCCCAGTACTTAAGCTGGCCCCTTCAGGGAAATACACCTGTCTGAGGCCAGCAGTGGACTGGGATAAGACTCACCTCTGCTGGACACTGTGTGCTGCAGAGCTTCCCTGGAGAGCCCCGGGGACTGCTTCTGGAGCCATGAGACCACCTCACTGGAGGAGGGTCCCCTGGGTACTCCTGAGCTGCTTATGCTCCCACCTCCTTTGGCCTGTGGTTCAGGGTAAGTGATGAACCTGGGGAAGCATTCTGGAGCCAGGAGAAACTGGCTTCAAGGGGCCTGCCAGGAGAGGTGTGTGTGTGTGTGTGTGTGTGTGTGCGCGCGCGCGTGCGCACGCGCTTGTGCATGCATGCCAATCCTGAGGCTTGAATTTGGGGTCTGGGCACTGTCCCTGAGCTTTCTTTGCTAAAGTTTAGCACTCTACCACTTGAACCATAGCTCCACTGCCAGCTTTCTGGTAGTTTGTTGGAGATAAAAGTCTGACTAAATTTCCTGCTTGCTTTAAAGCATGATGCTCAGATCTCAGTCTCCTGAGTAGCTAGGATTACAGGCGAGAGCCAGCAGCACCCAGCAAAAGCTGGTGATAAATGGAAGAATTCATCCAGCAATGTCTAGTCAGAGGACAGTCCATTGAGAAATAAACAAAGCAAAGCAAAATGGACAGAAAAAGAGAAAAGTCAAGGAGACAAGCAGAGCTGAAGGGAAAGGGCTAAGGACAAGCTAGCTGGTCTGGAAAATAGTATGGAGAAGTCAGGCTGGGACAAGAGGCGTCCAGAATGCTGAGAACAGTCAGCTTGTTACCCTGACGTTAGATTTAAAAGCCTCCCGTGGGAGCGAGGTATTGGTGGCTCACACCTGTAATCCCTGCTACCTGGGAGACCGTTGGGGTCTTGGTTAAAGGTCAGCCCAAGCAGAAAGACATCGAGTCCTTCTTGAGGGAGAGCTGGATTAAGTGGTGTGTATATGTTATCCTAGCTACTGTGGTCTAGCCTAAAGTAGGTAGGTCACATCTAGGTGTGCACCAGGCAGGAAGAAAGACTCTTATCTTAAAAGTAAAGAGCAAAAATTAGGGTCAAAGGTGTGGTTCAGCAGTAAAAGCATCTTCTTAGGAAGTATGAGTTCAAACTCCCTCTTGGGCCCATGTCCTAGAACTGGATGTGGCTTCCTGCACACCCACTTTCTCATCACATACAGAGTTCAGGATGGGGTGGACCCAAGTCTTAGTGAGGACATTCTGTATTTCCGGGTGTCTGGAGCTTCTTCAAGGTCTAGAGTCCTGAGAGAGTGAAGGATCAGAAGCATAGACCAAAGTTGGAGTCATAGCTTTTTCCTCACCTCGGCAGGCCTAACTTTCATGGAAGGAACTATTTCCTGGGAATGGGGCAGAAGGAACACATCTTCTTATGAGACACAGTGTCAGAGCAGTACAATATTCTGCTTTCCTTGACATTTTGTGTGGGTGTGATTGTGTGCTTGAACTAGACCTGGAGCTTGAACTCAGGGCCTGGACAATGTTTCAATGTTTGTTTTTTTGCCACAGCTTCACTGCTGGATTTTTTTTTTTTTTGGAGGTCTGGTCATGGGGCCTGAACTCTGGGCCTGGGTGCTGTCCCTCAGCTCTTCAGCTCAAGGCCAGTGTTCTACCACTTGAGCCACAGCGCCACTTCCAGCTTTTTTCTTTTTGCTTATGTGGTGCTGAGGAATCGAACCCAGGGCCTCATGCATGCAAGGCAAGCACTCTACCACTGAGCCACCTTCCCAGCCCCACTGCTGGATTTTTTTTTAAGGGGTTGGGTAGTTAACTGAGGATAAAAGTCTCACAGGCTCTTCAAATGGTGATCTAGATGGCAGCTTTCTAAGTAGCTAGGATTACAGGCATGAGCCATTGGTGCCCAGCTTTCCATGACATTTTAAGAGTTTGTCTAGGATCCAATGAAACAACTATCATCTCAACTTTCCCACTCACTTCCAAGGCCCTTAATTCAAGCTGAGGAAGCAGGGACCAAAAAGAGTCAGCTGAGGCCAGCTCCTCAGGGCTTCTTCTGAGGATGAGGAAGAAGGGTGGTCATAGGAGCCATGACCCCTAGGGCAGTAGGAAGAAGGAAGTGGGGTGTGCGGGAGGTGACTTGGATTCAGGAGTCCTGGTTGTCTTGGCTTTGCTCCTAGGTGTTCTGGTCTTTGTGACCAGCCCCTATCCTTGCTCTACTGGATTTGGTTCCCTTATGTCAAAAGCAGATGAATGACATGTCCTCCTGACCAGCAGTTTAAATTGCATTTTGTGATTTAAACTCCAATAGTGCTGGGTACCAACTCTGCATGCAGCCCCAAAGTATCACAATCATTAAACTTAAAAGAGCCAGGAAGAGGGGTTTACAGATTAAGAGTTGGGGTGAATGGCAGGAAAAGAGGCGAGGTGTGGTCAAGAGAAGGTGGTGGAAGGAAGATGGAGATGGGATGATCTGAAGAAAGCTGGGCATACTCTGGAGCTCTGAGTTCTATGACACCATGGAGCATGGCTAAGAGAGTGGATGGGGTGGAGGTGGGGGGACATGGGAGGTGGTACTTGAACACAAGATGGGACCTTAGAAGTGCTTGGTGAGGGAAAAGCAGGCAGTTCCACTTCCTGGAGCAGCTTCTGGGGGACTGGAGGCCTGTTCCTATGGCTGCACTACATCTGATGTAGATGTTGGGGCCACTGCTGTCCCATGCCAGAAGGAAACCCAGGCTCCATAAAGGAGCAACATGGTGAGGAAGTTTCTCTAGGAAAAGTCCTGATGAGAAAGTAGAATTGGGCATGGAAGAAATGGAAACTGTGATCCCTGGTAGTTCCTGCAGGAATGGTTTATCTTCCTGGGCCCATACAGGCCTCTATCTCCCATAATGGAGGGGCTACTACCCTGACCATTCAGAGTTTAGCTGACCATAGCAAATACAGGACAACAGGGAAGGAGCCTACTGGCTTCCTCCCAAGAGATTTGCCACTGCATTCATCAGGCTAGGAGAGGCCTCCCCAACTTGTCACCTCAGGCTTATCTGTACCCTCAGGGCACTCTTCTCTGTGCCCAGGATATCCAACAGAAGGAGATCCATGAACAAAACGTTCTCCCAAGAAAATCAACCAAATGCAAGCCAGTGATCAACAGATGTGTAGCACAGAGCAGGACCTTAAGGTCAGAAGACTAGTGTCAATGTTGTTACTTACCAACCCAAGGAACACAGGCCAAGTGCTTTCAGATCTAGTCTCATCTTCAATGCCAAAACTAGTAGGATGGAAGGAGCCACTACATAGGGTTGTCATGAAGACGAAACAAGACAGTGTCTGGCAAACATCAGCCTTAAAACTTCGTTGAGAGAGCCTGTTCCATTTCTGAGCTTGGAGGTTGGGGATGGAGAGCCCAATGGGCCTGGGAATGGAGGAGAAACTTCTGTAGGCTCAGTGACTGGGTCCACTTGTTCTAGGAGCTCAGGCCTCTCTAAAACCACCCATCCTTCCTGTGGGTCAGCAAGGGTTGCTGGGCTTATAGAGTTTGTGGACTTATTTGGCCGTTACTGAGACAAAGGCGGGCCTCAGCCATGAGGCTGAGCATGCTACGCTGCCCTCTGGTCTCCTCCACACCCTGCTTTCTGGCTTAGCTTCAAGGTGGAGGCTGGCCAGGCACTGTTTGCCATGTAACTAGTTTGTGACTTCACTGCCAAGAAAGGCCGAGAAGCACTTGGCCTTTTATATGCTTGAACAAGTAGTTTGATACTGCATCTGTTTTCTAGTTTCATGGTGTGTCAAATGCCTCACACAGGCAGAGCCCAGCCCATGAAGATGCTTCTTTCAGTCCAGGACTGATACTCTAGGCTTGGTCTTCTAGTTTCAGCCTTTCCCTCCACTCTATATTTTTCTATTAAGCTGAACTCATTCCCTGGTATGTTATTGAGTTTCTGAGTCAAAATGAAGACAATATGTCAGCACTCCATAGAGGTTGAGTCCTCAGCATTTTCCTGGAGACTCTGAAGGGGTCCTAGGAACTTGTATGGCATTAGGCCTCTAAAATGGCAGCCATGTTCCCGGACGGTGTGGTCTGAGTAGCAGGCAGCTCTGCAGTGCGCAGGTGCGTGGTTAAGTCCTACATGGATATAGACTGTCTGTATGGCTTTCCCAGCTCACATTGTGGTTTGGGTTCCTAAAGTCCAGTCACAGTAGGTTTGAGGGACTTGAGAGGAGAAAAGTGCTCAACCTTTGGATTTACTCATTCACTTTCTCAACACTAAAATGAATAAGCCATGGTTCTTTCCGAAAGTACTCTGTCTAAGCTAAGTGACCTGTTAAAGGTGACGTGACCCAGAAGTGAGGCATCTGGGATGAGAATCCAGGCTTTATTTTTATTTTTTAATGTTATTGTAAAGATGATGTACACAGTGGTTACAATTACGTGAGTCAGAGAATGAGTACATTCTTTCCCAATTTAGAACCCAGGTTTCCCTGGTAGTTTACTATGTCTACAAACAAACCTTCCAGCCAGCCCAGTCTATCCCTGCTGAGAGTCATTCATTAATTCATTTAATTCAAAGAGCAGATACGCAATACTACCATTGTTCCAGGGCAGAACTGCATGCACACAGTGGAGAATCAACTGAGGTAAGCCAGCCTCTTCCAGTTAAGCTCTCATTACAGAAAAGTTCCCAATTCCCCCGGGAAGGAGGAGAGTGACAATGATGTCCTCTCTGAGCTGAGGAAGCTAGAGATGGAGGTGAGCCAGGCTTGAGCAGGCAGAGCAGTGAATGGTACATGTAGGCCAGGAAAGAGCTCAGTACCTTAGGGGGATTTAAAAGAGTGCCAGGACTTGGCAGGGCATGGAATGGATTGTGGAATTTAGGTAACTGACATGGGCTGACACAGAGAGATTTTTTTTTTTTTGGGTCCGGTCATGGGGCCTGAACTCTGGGCCTGGGCGCTGTCCCTCAGCTCTTCAGCTCAAGACTAGCGCTCTACCACTTGAGCCACAGCGCCACTTCCGGGTTTTTTCTTTTTGCTTATGTGGTGCTGAGGAATCGAACCCAGGGCCTTAGGCATGCAAGGCAAGCGCTCTACCACTGAGCCACCTTCCCAGCCCATACACAGAGAGATTTTTGATAAAAGAGTGGTGTGCTCTGATTTTGAAATGAACTTTGGAATGACCGAGTAAGGAAAATGGATTGGAGAGAAGGCAGGGATGAGTCGGGCTCCCACCATCTTGGTTTTGGAGGTCATCTCTTCTGACTCCCACTGGAGGAGGGGGTCACCCTTGTAGCCTAGGGTTGCCCTTGAGATCTTGGCAACTGTTGGCTATGGTGGTGGCCACCCTTCTCGGGCTATAACCATCATGCTAGCATCCTTTGGTCCCTGGTACCACCATGACAATTGTAGAAGAAACAGGTACAACCACATCCCACATTTCAACTCAGTGAAAACAGCCAAGAACTAGGGTCTAGGGATTCTGAGTTTAGTCACCCAATAGCTGTTTATAGAGTGCTTGCTGTAGGCCTGTCTTGGCACCTGAGCCAGAGCAGTCACCAGAGGGGCATGAGGAGTTGGTGTCTTTCCTCGTCTTTGACTCTACCAACACAGGAAAATCACCCCTGGGTGGATAGAACCACACGCACGAATGATTCTGGAGCCAGTACCAGCTGCTGGTGGTCCTGCTCCCTCTCTCAACTTCGTACCTGTCAGGGCTCTGCTGCCCAGATGTGAATGCGTTTTCTCCTCCAGGCTGATTTACAGTGCACTGCTGGGCTTCTCCCCTGCCCCAGACAGCAGCGAAGTGACACATTGTGGGAGACATGTTTTATGGGTACCTCACCTCCAGTTCCAGGAAAAACTCAAGACAAACAGTGTAGGTGCTAAGAAGTTGGCTCGGCCCGCGGTGCTCAGTGCATGGAAGGCACGGCTTTGTTCTCTCTTCAGGGAGTGACTTCACTGCTCTGTTGGAATGTGATCTGCCACAGCGGCCACCACTCCTTTTCCTGAATCAACAACACATTCATCACTTTCTCATACTCGGTAGAGTCACCAGAGGGTCACTGGGGGGAATGATGCCTATCATCACTTTCAACTTGATCAGCCTTGGAGTCCTGAGAGAAACAATATGGGTCCTAGATGTCTCTACCCCTCCACCCCCATAGTTCAAGGGGAGTAACGACCTCACCCAGCCGCTCTGAATGAAGTGGGAGCTGAGGAACAGCCCACCTTAGGCCAGCTCTGGTGATCTCCCCATCCTTGAGTGACCTTGAGTGACCCTCCTCTGAAAGAACTTCTCCACCCTGTCCATTTCAGACTCCACCATCCATGTATTGTCACCTAGCGTTCTTGTCACCCCAAGGGGTCAATAGCTATCACAACGCACTCTGACGTCCTCACAAAATGTCCTCATGGCACATCGTTTGTCCCTGAAAGTGTACCAGACTTGTCCCCAGGTGCAGCCCAAGCACCTACGGCAGGTCACCTGCCACTGCTGCAGGACCCTGTCAGCTCTCCAGGCACTCAGTGTCAGTCCTGGGGCTGAGCAATTCACTCACATCTTCAGCGCCTTGGCCCCTTGTGTTGGCAATGTCAGCCCTGCTGCTTACAAGAACTATGATGCTGGACAATGTGTTTACTAAGCTTGACCTCGCCTGTGAACTGAGGGCCACCACTAGTGAGATAACCTGGAGAGCACCATGTAAATATGAAGCATCCACTTTACATCCACGTGTCTCCTGTGGGCAGCACACAGGCAACTGTACATGGATGGGTCAAGAAGCCAGGAAAGTAGTTAATCAAAGCTCACACTTAAGAACTCAAAGTGAAGACAATGCCTGTCGCTGAGATTTTTTTGGGGGGAGGGGGTCCGGTCGTGGGGCCTGAACTCTGGGCCTGGGCACTGTCTCTCAGTTCTTCAGCTCAAGGCTAGCGCTCTACTGCTTGAGCCATAGCACCACTTCCAGCTTTTTTCTTTTTGCTTATGTGGTGCTGAGGAATGGAACCCAGGGCCTCAGGCATGCAAGGCAAGCGCTCTACCACTGAGCCACCTTCCCAGCCCCACGCTGAGATTTTTATGATGTAGAGATGCCTCAGGAACATCCTTATTTCTCTTTTTAATTTAAATTTTATTGTAAAGGTGATATACAGATGTCTTCCTTCTTATAGAAACCATCATTGCACACATACAGACACTCAGCCACAACCAGAGGAAGTTCAACCATCACCAAGTGGCCTTCCTTTGAGGAAGACTGCTTTGGCAACCTGCTTCCTGGCATCTTAATCAAAGTTGTGGGGCAGGGTGTGTGTGTGGGGGTGGGGTGGTAACAGAAGAAATTCTAGTTGCTTGTCTCCAAGCCTCTAAGGCAAATAGATCTGTGTCTTCAGCATTCAACCAATTACCTACCAAAGCAGAACTATAGACCATTTTCCAAAGTAAGTCTTTCCTAAGGATATGATGGAAGAAACTCTCCTTCCTGGTCCCCAGAGCTGAAGAACACCACCAGCCATGCAGTAGTCTGATGGAAGGTTAGAATGGAATGTATTAGTCAACTTTGTATTCCAAAATAAAATAATTCCAGAGACAGGCTAACTTTTTAAAGAAGGAAGGTTTACTTAACTCACAGTTTGGGATGCATGAGGCAGGCTCTAGTGAGATTTTCATGATGGAACATCAGGAGCATATATGAGAATGAGCAATCAGATCAGCAAAACAGGAAGCTGGAGAGAGGAAGCTCTTACAGTCCTTTCCCAGAGCATGCTTCCAGTGGACCTAAAAGCTTCCCAACAGCTCATTTCTTAAAGGTCCTACCACCATGCTGAGAACCTCCAAGAGATGACCCTTTGAGGATCACATCATATCAAAACCATACAGGGGTTGAAAGAAATGGAATCAGGAGTGTTAATAGGCTGCTGCAACAGTTGGAGTGATGAGCATGATGCAGCAAAGTGAAGAAGAAAAGAAATCATTTAGAGAAGCAATAACTGGTGCCAAACTATGATACTGGGGACAAGGAAGAGGAAAGAACTGAATATGACTCAGAGTTTCTGGCCTGGACATCCAGGGGACTATTGTTAAAAGTTAACAGAAGGAAGAAAGATGGAGAAAGACACAGTTGGAGGAAAACTTGCCTTAGACATGCTACACAGGACCAGCTAGGCAGGAAATCACTGGATGAGCAATCTGAAATGTGGGTGTGAGAGAGATCAGGAAGAATTAGAGATTCGTAAGGCATAAAGTAGATGCAATGGAGGAAGGTGAGGGAGGGAGAGGGAGAGAGAGCTTGAAAATGTCACCCAGAAACCCAACTCCATTCCAAAAAGGGAATCCTGTAGGAATATCAAGATGACCCTGGCCAAGGGGTCACTGTTAAGGCTGGTAATCCATAAATGTTGGTCAAGTGAATGAATGAGTAGATAGATGGTGCCAAATGGTATAAGCATCAGGAGACCCAAGAAGAATGTGTCTTGCCAAAGTGACTGAGGCGGTGAAACATAAGGAAGGTGTGATTTGTAGGTGTCAGCCACTCTTTGTAAGATGCTCAATGGTGAAACAAGAGATAGAAAAAGGAGGGAGCAAGATGAGTGGTGATATTTTGTTTGTTTAGTGTGGGGGGTGCACACATACACGTGCACGCACACACACACATGTGCATGTGCCAATCCTGGAGCTTGAACTTAGGGCCTGGGCACTTTCCTTGAGCTATTTTGCTCAAGGCTGGCACTCTGCCATATGAGCCACACTTCCATTTCTGGCTTTTTGGTGGTTACTTGGAGATATGAATCTCACAGACTTTCTTGCCCAGGCTAGCTTAAAATTGGGATCCTCAAATCTCAGCCTCCTGAATGATTAGGATTGCAGGTATAAGCCACCAGTGCCCAGCAATGTTTGTTAAAGTGTGGTCTTTAAGACACCTGTATGAGAGTCACTCTGGGAACCTGATAAAATCCTTGAAATGAAAATTCGCAGATCTCATCCCATAATAAGAAATTGGATTCTCAGGGCTGGGAAGGTGGCTCAGTGGTAGAGCGCTTGCCTTGCATGCTCGAGGCCCTGGGTTCGATTCCTCAGCACCACATAAGCAAAAAGAAAAAAGCCGGAAGTGGCGCGGTGGCTCAAGTGGTAGAGCGCTAGCCTTGAGCTGAAGAGCTGAGGGACAGCGCCCAGGCCCAGAGTTCAGGCCCCACAACCGGACCAAAAAAAACAAAAGCAAAAACAAAAACAAGAAATTGGATTCTCAACGTCAGCCCAAGGATTAATTTGTAATGCTACCACTAAGCCACATTCCCAGCCCCCAAGGTTTCTTATCTAAGAATAATCATTTGCAAACTGTTTCTCTGAGGCACTAAAGAATCTATTGAAGGAGTGGCCTGATATTTATTGTTTAAATAGTGGTGAAAGACAAATATAGTAATTGCGTTTTTGTTGTGATTAGTGCACATCACTCCCTTTGACAAGGATAAGCCCAACAATAAGTAAAACTACATCACCCACACGAAGCGGTTCCCTTCTCTTCCTGTCCACTGAAGCCAGTGACACTAATCAATCTATCATGATTAGAAAGTTCTTTGCATTAACATTGAGAAGGAGGATTTCCAGGTCACAAGTCTGTTTGAAGAGACTCCAAATCCATACTAGCAAGCAGAGAGTTTTTCAAAGAGAAGGGATCTTGGAAAACAGGGCTCTTTCAGGCACTGCCAATGAGAAGATATGGTGGCTTGACCTTTCTACCAAGAAATCTGGCCATGTATAGG